ACAGAGACAGTCAGACTGCCTGTGTACTGACCAGTCCCTCTATAATCCAAATATTTCATGCAAAGGTAGAAAGAGGTTAAAAAAAAGTCAAGCTGGATCTGGTCAAATTGAACGTTTCTGGGATGTATTAACAGTTGAAGTAATTCCTTAATATTTACATCACAGAGACAGTCCATCTGGTCAAAGCCAGAGTTTATGTTTCATGTATTCCTCCTTCGTCCTATTCCATCTCACCCTATCCATGCGTCCTTCCATGTTTTTATCCCTCTTGTATTTATTAGCATCAATTTAAACACATCCATGCTATTAAGCTCAACTATTGCCTGTGTGAGCGAGTTCCGTAAACTCTATGGATGGAGGAGTTTCTCCTGAATTCCTGATTGTGAGGTGAGGTTACACTCTGAGGTCATACCCAGCGAATATTTTCCTTCTTATTCAATACCGCTGTATAAACAACACAGTCTGAGAGATCCAGCCATTTCACAGCTGTGTGTAGAATCTTGCTGTGCGCTAATAGCTGCCACATTTATCAACATGAAACCAGTCACAACACCTCAAGGTAGCCCTTGTCCATGAAGTAATCTGCACTTTTTAAAGGAGACTAATTCAATTTTTCTCCCCTTCTTCTAATGGAAGGCTTGTTCATGAGCACTGAGCTCCTCCACTTTGTAATAATGGTCTTCCAGTCAAACAAGGCTCATTCTGTGGCTATTGTGGCCTTGAGCAGAATTGAGGAGATACAGAGTAATGGTGAGGCAGGGGTTGGGGAGGAGGGGGGAATAATAGGAAGAGTCGTGAAGATCAAAGTTTGGAATCATCTGTGTTTATGTTAAATACAAGCCTCCTTTGAATTCCTCAAAGATCCAGCTAACCTCATATTAATGAAGGTTCAGCTCCTGGCATTAACCAGATACAAGCTTTCAGCTGATGTCAACAATTTAGTTGCTTTTGATAATTCAGCAACAGCGTTTTGTTGGCAAATGGTTAGATTAATGCTGGAATCATTCAGAGAATCTGCACACTTGACCTCATTCTCATCTCCATTTCATCACATTATCCAGACACGTTTCACTGGGACAGACAAAAAAAGCAAACTTGCCACAGACAAGAAGAGGATGCATTTATTTGGTGCTTGTTACAACTTCAGGGTGTTTCATTTGAAGGGAGTTGTGATACCTTGAGATCATGAAAGGCACTATAACAATGCAAGCTTTCTCTCTACCTCTTTTTGTTGGAAGTCGCTGTATGCTAAATGCCGCTGTCTTTCACTGGCTTCTGAGCTTATTACATTTCCTCCTGATCTTTGGTGCATAAAGCAAATTATTTATAAACAGTTATAATACCTTATAAACAGTTTGCCTCACTTCAAAGATGTTAATCTGGATCACGGTCTATAGGATATGTTGGAGAATTGGCTCAGGGTGTTTAGAGAGTGTGCTCCTGTTGCTTGACAACCACATGCCAAAGAAATGCCACAAAGTATTATTACAAATTATATTTACCATTAGTTTCCTAATTCATCACCCTACACAAACTTCAGCTCATTAGAACCTCTGCTTTTCATATCATATCCTGCTCATGGGTTATCCCTGGGCTTTCTGACGAACACTAAATTCCAATGCCAAAATTCCTGAAATTTTTCATTCCTGAATTCAAATACCTCCACAGCCTCACCGTCTCTCTGTCTCTAAAACTCTCTATTCCTCTGCTCTCCAATAGGCATTCTGCACTCTCTTCATCCCCCCATCACTGCCAAGCTTTCAGTTGACCCAATTCCTCATACGCAAGGTAAAGTCACGATAATCTTGCCAGACAGTAGGGCTGCTCTATCAGTAGAGAGAGAGATGACTGGTGGTGGTTTAACTTAAGGAGGGTCTCTATGCCTCAAGCAAGGGGAGAAGTTGAAAAGCTGCCCCCTACTGGTGTCCTCAGCCAATGCGGGAATTGAGCCCATGCTGTGGTATACATTCTATCAACATTACTATCCAGCCATCCAACTAACTGAGCTAACCAGCTCCCATAGTCCCTCATACTATGAAACCTTCAAACCTCTAGGTTTGCCCACTCATCTTCTGTCTCCTCCTCTAAGACCTGAACATTCGTGGTTATGGTAGAAATAGACTGTCCAGGTAAAGCCTTGTGACTGGGTTCCCTGTAAAAACATCTTACAAACAAATCTTTCCTCCTGCTTCTTCCTTTCAACTAATCAATATCTGTATCATTTGTAACAACTACAGCCATTCCCCTGATGTTTCCCCCTCAAAAATAAATTTC